TAGCCTAGGTTGTATTGTGGTAACAACTAAGCCCTAAGTCTTAGAAGCTGCAAACAACTAGGGTTTCTTATTATTTATTTAAAAAAAAGCTTATTAACTTATTTCTTCTGAGACACACACACACACATACACACACACACACACACACACACAGACCTCTAACAGGGGTTTCACATCACGGTCTACTCCAAGTCTCAGCCAGTCCAGATCACAGGGATGCATGTGTGGCTGGCTGCTCCAGAGGTTCTGGGATGAGAACCCAGGACCTTTCCCATGTGTCCAGCTGTGTTACCACTGTGCCACCATCTAACCACAACATAGGTTTATTTCTTGATCATGTACATGTCTCTAGAATCTATATGAGTAGAAAGAGGCTAAGAGATAGTGGCTATGAGAGACTCAACCCATTTCCTCCACAATTGCCAGGCAAGGAAAATAGATGGTGGTGCATATTCCAATGTTTCTCAAAGCTCTGTCTACAAGGGGCACTTCTGCTCCTGTTTCATTGGGCAAAGAATTACATAGTCACAACTAATTGTTGGGGGTGGCGAGACTATATTCTTCCCTACCATCTGCCCACAAAGAGACTGTACAATATCAGGGGAGTAACAGTAGTGACCACCGTATACTTAACTGTCCTCTCCAAAGCCTAGTTTTGCTTTTTGTTTGTTTGTTGATTTAAAAAAAATTTCCTTGCAGTTGTATGCGTTATCATAAACCTTTATAGCAACCTTTATTTTCTTAAAAAAATGTAAGTTAATTAGAATTAATTTCACTTAATAAATATTAATTCTCTATGAGGATTTTTTTGTTTAAATGTTTTTACTTTAAGGCATGTACACTCACCAGAGAGAGAGAGAGAGAGAGAGAGAGAGAGAGAGAGACAGACACAGAGAGAGGGAGAGTGAGAAATCACCCCAAAATCCCTTCTCCTCCCAGGACCTTACGCACACACTCACACACACACACACACACACACACACACACACATATGTGCCTGGTATGATTTTGAAGCCATCGGGTCTGGAACTCAAATTGTGATTGGCCATGTGGGAGTCCAGCGACATAACCGCTATGCCATCTGCTGGTCCCAGGATTTTTTTTTTTTAAAGTGTATTTATTTCTTTCATGAGCATGAGAGAGGGTGAGAGAAAGAGTGAGAAGCACCCTAAATGGAGTCTCAGACTACGCCTCCCAGCAACTATACCCTCAGACAGCCAGGATCATGTAAATCTAGAAGTCATTCCTTAGTTTTGGCATTATACATGCTTTGAACTGAGCATCTTAGGAGAATGAACTTCAGTATACACACTGGCTGGTTTCAAAGAAAGAGCACACACAGAATTTTTCAGGAATAACATTTTAAAAGAAAAAGAAGCAGAGCACAGTATGATCCAATATTTAGATCCAAATAATTATTGGTAGCCACCACAAGTTAGGCAGGGAGCCAGGTATTTTTTGCATATACTAGCTAATTCAATTTAATTCCTTATAAAACTAATTTGAGGTGAGTCTTATTTTCTGTAATTTATATATGCAGAAATGGATGCTCAGGGAGAAAAAATGACCTGTCCAAAAACCATTCATCTAGCAAATGACAGTTTTGTTTCAACTCTGTCATTTGTTAATTCAGAGGTGGACTAATATATTGCAATGTGTATGTTTGGAGATTCCATACTATTTGGTTTGGCAGGACTGTCAGAGACACAGATGGTGGCAGGTGATCTGGAGTACTAAGGTTAAGAGGCTAGAGTTTATCATTAGGCAACAAGAGGAAGATTTGTTGAGCCAGGGACGGCATACACTATAGAGCTCTGCTTCAGAAATATTGATCAGCTATTGTCCAGGATGAAGAGAAATGAGGTACACAGGAAGCCTGGAAACCAGTTGAAAGAAAACTGTAAAGACTCAGATAGGTCTGCATGAGTGTGGATGTTGGCAGTAGATATGGAAAACAGTGTTCTATCTCGTGTACAGAACCACTGGGAATTGTCAAGTGAAGTCAGAGTGCCCCTACCCCTACTCCCCTGCACTCCTACTTTGCATCATGGGTTTCTCAAGGACTTATGCCTAGAAACATGCCTGGACCAAAAGCAGAAAAAATGAGGCAACTACTTAAGTGTGACATATGCAAAATTCCTCCTTCAGGAGAAACAAACCAACCTCTTCCCCCTCACTTGTGGGGCCTGACATTTTACCATTGGTAAAGAGTCTTTTACTTAAAAGTGGGACTATTTAGAGATCAGAGGAGAAGAGATAGTGAGAAGTTTCCTTATTACCAGCATTCAGGCAAGCAACATAAAAGTGTAGGGGCAATCTGAAAGGCCACCTTGAGAAATGGGGCATACATGCTCCATCTACAGGGGACAGCAGCTTCTCAGCTCTGGCTAGGGACCCTGAAGTTCTGGATCTGCTAGTTTTTTAACAAAAACTTTTTTTTTTAAAGGGAAAGCTCCCAATTTCAAACTTGCAGCCAGTTTAAATTTCTTATCACTGTGCTTGCTACATGCAGTTCAGTTTGCCACCTCCAAGTCAATGTTAACACCACCTTATCTTTAGTAAAATTGGATACAGAGTAGGTTCGTTTGGACAGCGCCAAGGGTGGATGGAGAAATTTGAGTGTTCAGCATGGACAGCAGGAAGGCCCTGGCCCACATACTGGGTATTTTTGGTGCCTGGGTCTTGAAAAGGTGATGGGCCACTTACCTGGCAATATTTGTTACAACCCTGGCTTCCTGGCTAACCATCCTGTAGCTGAGTTTGTAGTGGAAGGGTGGTGGGGCAAGCTGGTGTTTCTGCTCCAGCTGGCCCCTTCCCATTAACATTACTGTACTGCAGTTGTGCGGTGTTTGAAAAAGCATCCCTAGTTACACAGAATGATTTACAGGACACCAGACTCTGCATTTCAGAGGTCTCCAGTGTACCATAAAAAATATATTATAAAGGAATAATCTTTATCTGAACTACAGCTGCAGTGAAGGAAACTCATGTCCAGCTGAGAGCAGCAGTGAGCTTTTGTTCACTCGGGGAAAAGTCCGTGTTCTTCATCTTATTTGATTAACATTTTTTTCCTCTTTGGCACTAGGTATCTTGTTAATATTTAGACATTATATACATTTTCTTTCAGCCGTTATTCCTATTATGTGATCAAACAAAATTGGAGATTCCAGGCACATCCGTCCTACCGGAAGAGCAGACCCACTGGGCACCCCGCTGCGGCTAGCTTGGTAAACCTGGCTCACCAGAGCCAGCCCCTGGACGAGCGGGGCTGAGCTGTGCTGGACCAGCACCCGTTCCCAGGACGCTGAATTCGCTAGAGTGCTTCATAGATTACCCTGCCTCTCTTTCCCCTACCAGCCTCCCCTTTCCCTCACTTTTCCGAGCAAAAAGCAATCGAAGCATCTAGTTTTGAATCTTCCCAAATTTTCTGGTGCTTATTATTTCTCCCCAAGAGAGGGAGGTGAGGGGTGGGTGGGAATTTCTCTCCAAAGAAAATACTTTTCCCCCCTTGTAATTCAGTGGGTCGGTGCGCAGACTTCCTGCAGCCCAGCTTGTCTCTGCTCACTAGTGTTTGGAGCGATGATGGTCTCAAGTCTTTATTTCAGTCTAGAGAAACCTGAGTTCCGTGGCTGGCAACGTCTCCTTAAGGGGCTTAGGTGTGTACACCTGCGGTTAAGGAGGGGCTTGCCGCCTCTCCTGGGGTAGAAAGTGTTGTCACCCAGTGGTGGGACAGAGGAAAAACTCTGGGGCTGGGAAACCCCGGGGCTTTTTGTCAAAGCTCCACCCATCTGGAGCTCCCAGATAAGATGGGGAGGCTGGAAAGATGGAAGTTGAGATGGAAAAGCTTTCTGGAGCACGAGTCATTCCTGGACTAAAGGCAGGACAATACCTAGGGTGAAAAAAGGAGAATCACGACGGACTGACTCTGCTTAGAGTCTGGGGGGAAAGTGGAAGCCAAAGCTAGCATCTGCCGGTCCCCCGCTGCCCGATGCGCGGCACCGGAGGCTGGCGTTGGACTCTACGCGCCTAAAAGTATTGGGAAAGGGCTAGCGAACACTGCGACCCAAGATCTCATGGGAGGGGTAGCACAGGAGGTCGCGCGGGCAACACCTCGAGTGCGTGTGCGTTGGGTGGCTGAGGGGTGGGGGCACGATCTCGGCTCTGCCGAGTGCCCCAGCCCTATCGTACGCCTCCGCTCCCGCGCCCCCCTTCGCAGGAGCGCGCGAAGCGCACCCCCTTCCCTCGGCGGCGCGGGGCGCGCTCCCGGCCAGGTCCTCCTCCCCTCAGCGCCTCTCCTCTCTCCCGGCAGAAAGTTAGCAGCGGGGAAGGAACTCGGGGCTGCAACAGCGCGC